AATGTGATACCGTGTGGGATCCTGCCTGTGAAGCTGCTGTTTCCTTCAGGAGGAGAAAAGAGGCCAGGGGCCGGCGGCGGCAGCGCCTTCAAGACTAACCAGATTTGTGGCAGGCATTGGAAGAAGTGGCTGCAGTGGCTCCCGAAACCTCCTCCCCTGCCACATGTTTTGTTACTCTTGCAGGTCTTCCTGGACTCTGGCTCTTTTCTCCTGCTCCGGACAGACCAAGACGGCCGCCCACCTTGGTTTTCTTCAGGGGAACTGGTCTCTGCAACCTGGAGATCAGTTCTGATTCCAGGAGGACTCCAGCGACTACCTGGAAGTGATAGAGAAGAGCAAGAAGGTCACAGAGTCCACAGGACAGGAAAGCAAAACACAAGAAGGAGACTGTGCAAAAATGGCTGCAGTTGATATCCCAAAAGTCTATATTTCCATGTAATGCCGAAAGTCCATTTGTTTCTTTCAGACATAGGATCAAAGAAGTCTTCACAAGGTAATGATGATGAAACTCTCCGGATTAACAATTCCTGTTTCGTAGAGCCTTCGTCAAAGATCAACAACACAAGGATGTCGTTCCTTATTTTTCAAAGAGCAATCCTTCCATTCTCAAAATATACAGTTTCCAATCCATGCCATGAAATTACATGTTTTCACAAAGCAGGCAAGCGAATCATAACAACCTGGATTGGAAACTGTATATTTTGAGAACGGAAGGATTGCTCTTTGAAAAATAAGGAATGACATCTTTGTGTTGTTGGTCTTTGACGAAGGCTCTCCGAAACGGGAATTGTGAACCCGGAGAGTTTCGTCATCATTACCTTATAAAGACTTATTTGATCGTATGTCTGAAAAAAACAAAAGGACTTTCGGTATTACATGGAAATATAGACTTTTGTAATATAAAATGCAGCAATTTTTGCACACTTTTTGTGTTTTGCTTTACTACCTGGAAGTTGGCAACCCCAGCTCAGCCCCTGCAGTCGCCCGCCCCCCCCCCCCGGAGAATATAAGAACCTCAGAAGAGCCCTGCTGGACCAGAGCACTGAAGGTCCATCTGGTCCAGCCTCCTGTCTCACACGGTGGCCAGCCAGTTCCTCCGGAGGTCCAACCACAGGGCCTAGAGGCCGAGGCCTTTCCCCGATGCTGCCTCCTGGCTCTGGGATTCAGAGATTGACTGCGCCTGGGTGTGGAGGTTCTCTTTAGTCACCGCTCCAGGAGAGGGTGCCCCTACTAATTGTCTCCCCACTTGGCTTGGATGTCTGTCGGGCAACATTCCCACAGAGGACTCCCCCCCCCCCAGCTGCTGCCTGTCCTGGGCTTTCCTTTCTCACAGTCTTCCTTCCTTTTGCATCCTGTAGGCACTTGCCTGACTGGCGCTGCGAGGCTCCACAACAAGGCAACCCCCTCGACCAGTCCCTGAGCGCCACCGAAAGACCCTGGTGACACCCCCTGCTGTCCCTTCAGTGGGTCTGCCAGGGGAGATCAAGGTCCTGCGCCCGGGAACCCAAGATACTGTCAGGCAGTTTGTGCTCTCGGCGGTTCCGGAAAAGAACTTCTCCGCTTCTCTTGTTCTTCCCCAAAGTGCCAACGGGTGGCCGAGGCCAGAAGAGGAGGCCCTCTTCCCCCGCAATCTCTCCAGCTAGCCGGGGAGACTGGGCACACAGGCCCCCCGGATCCGTCTGTGCCAGCGCTGAGCGCCTGTGAGTGGGCTCCTCCGGCATCCGGCAGAGGAAGAAGAAAGGACAACTCACCAACCACCTCTTGCTCATTTGCACGGAGAAAGGCGGGAGGAGGGGAGCCGCTTAATTGGCTTCGTTGGGCAGCTGCCTGGCAGGAGCCACCAGGAGAGGGTCAGGCTCCCAAGGCCTGCCTTGACCGCAGGGACCGCGGACCAGAACTCTGCGCCTCCCCCACCCAAGCAGAGGCACGGGGAACAGGCAACTCCCCCAGGAGACCCTTGGCTGGCCCTTCGCCAGACTCTTCCGTCAAGCTGAGGCCTGCCGCCGGGTGCTCCTTGGCTGGAACCCCAAGCCGAGAGCTCCCCCGAGCCCCCTGTTGCTCCCCTCGGCCGCCGCTGATCCTTCTCCACGGCCAGGATGAATGAGCTGCTGGACCCCTCGTCCCAGGCCAACCTGGGCGTGGTCTCTGCCACCTGCGTCTCCAAGGTGGAGCTGCGGGTCAGCTGCAAGCACCTGCTCGACCGGGACACGCTCAACAAGTCGGACCCCTGCGTGGTGCTCCTGATGCAGTCCCAGGGGCAGTGGATGGAGGTAGGGTGGGGCGGGGCAGGGCGGGGGGGACAGAGGGTGGGGGAGGCACCATGCATCGGCCTGTCCGGGCTGCCCCCGGCTGCTCCCCCTGGCTTGAGCAGCATTCTTGCGGGCTGCTCCCAGGGGGGGCACGTCTCTTCCAAAGACTGAGCATCCCCCAGCAGTGATCGGAAGCTGTTGCTTTTGCTAGGAGAAGGGCGGGGAGGGCGGGGAGGGAGACCGTCGGGCAGCTTTGAGGAGGGAGGGGAGCTGCGTGCTTAAAGGGATGGGGGGCAAGACCAGCCACAGGGGCTCCGCAAGCTCCCTAGTCCACCATTCCCTCCCCCACAAATTGCACCATGACAAGGGACAAGGTTTGTCACGCAGGGGTTTTTCGGCTGGCATGCGTGCCGTGGGTGGCAGAGCCTCTGGGCTCTTCCCGGAGAATGGCATGCCAGGGGGGTGGGAGGGCCAGAGGGCTTCCGAGAACCGGCTACTGGGGCAGGCCAGGGAGGGAAGCCCCTTTCCTTGGGGGCCTCTGGAGCAGCTTCCTCCAGAGAAGGGGCGCTGTTCTCTCTGCCTGGCCCAGAGCCACCTGCCCTGCCTTGCCGCTACCCTCTGGAGCCTCCAGCACAGAGAGGCCCTTCCTGCTGCTCGGGAGCCTCTAAGCAGACCGGCCGGCTTGGGAGGGGACTGAACACCAGCCTTTCCGTGCGCAAAGCAGAGTCTCTCCCACTGAGCCAGGGCCCCTCACCATTTTCAGTGACTCACCCTCTGCTCATTAGTCTTGGATTCAGAGCCGACGGGCCTGATTGTCATGGGCTGCACGCGGCGTGTGTACCTGTTACAAAGAGGTTCTTTTGGATGAATTTCTCTGTGTTCCAAATCTGGTCACTCCGTCTGGGGACAGGAAGGACTCCCCTCGTCCCAGATCTAATTGGCTAGTGGCTCAGGGGGGGGGGGGATCCTTTTAAGTGCAGCGGAGAGGCTTGTTTGCTCAGGTTGCCTGCCTGCCTGCCCTCTGCTCTGCTCTGCTCTACCTCCCTGCTTCCAGAAAGGGCAGCCGGGGCATGGATGTGGGGAAGAGACAGACAGACAGACAGACAGACAAAAAGAAGGCAGAGAAGGACATTCTGCTCCCATCCCAGGCATCATCTTCTTGGCTACTCTTAAGGCACTTCTGCTTATCTACATGATGCTGAGCAAGATTAAATGGTACAGAACTCTCCCCAGATTTTAAAAGTGTTTACTGAGGCTGCAGCCGGGCACTGATAGGATCCTGGCCACGGGCTGCTTCCAGACGGGCACAGTCTCCTGCCAGCCAGTTCTGCACTTACATGCAACAGACGGCGAGCTGGGTTTTTGCTGCTGCTGCTGCAGGCTGTGAACTGTCAAACGGGGAGAGCAAAATGGGACTCCCCCCCCCAAGGTGTAAGCCTTCCCCTGTCCCCTGCAGGCCCCGAGCAGGTAGTCCTCCACAGAAGAGGCCAAGAGCGCTCTTCTGGGGAGGGAAATGCGCCCCTCACATGCTCAGAGGCTCTCTCGTCTTAACGTTTTATGTTACCTGTCAACAGTTTCCAGGCCTGACTGTTGATGAGCACCAGAGACTGGGAACACATCTCTCCAGTTCTAAAAAGAACAGTCAGGGCTGGCTCACTCACTAGGTGAACTAGGCAGTCGCCTAGAGCGGGACGGCCCTTAGGGGCACCAAACTGCACCCGGCCCCATACTCGGGGAATTTCTTGATTATTTGTGTTTTTTATTCTTCCTAAAATGCATTAATTTTTTTTAATTGGTGGGCGCATGGGGGGGGGGCAGAAGGGATCCTCGCCTAGGGTGCAAAATAAGCTGGAGCCGGCCCTGAGAACAGTGCTGGCGATACTTTCGGTTCTGGGCACAATTCAAGGCGCTTCTCTCCCACACTGAAGACCTGAATGGTTTTGGGCAAACATACACATGAAGCTTCCGCCTTCTTCCTCTGAGCCCAACCCTTGGTCTGTCCAGGTCGATCTCATCTGCTCTGCATGGCAGCCGCTCACCAGGGTCTCCCTCCGGGCACAGATCTTTCGTCTCCCCTCCTGTCTGACCCCTTTTGAAAGGGAAGATGCTCAGTGGGCTGAACCCAGGAATTTCTGCACACAAAGCAGGCGCTCTCCCACTGAGCCACGCCCCTCTTCGAATGGCCACTCACTCCCATCTGAGCTCACCTTACCCCCCCCCCCCATGGAGGCTCTGCCCCATATTCAGCGGTCAGGTGGGTGGTGGCACAAGGCGGTGACTTCTCGGCAGTGGCTTCCCTCCACGCATTGGCCCGTTGCCCCGCCTTGTAGGTTTTAGGCATCCTTTCCATTCGTTCAGGCCTGGGGGTTATTTTGCTCTTCCTTTGTGCCGCTGGATATTTCCGCCCGCCTCCCTCCTGCTGGCACTTGGGCCGATGGTGCCTTGTGCCGTATCGGAGAGAGTAATTCATTACTGTTTTTCTCTGTTTCTTATCCTTTTGTTTTTACGATGTTTAATGGCATCTTGTTTCTTTGTTTGCTGCCTCGGAAGCCATTTGGGTGAGAGGCAGGATAGAAATCTTTGAAATGAAACAAGAATGCTGATTAACTGGCTGGTCCTGGAGGAAACACCCCCTCCCCCCGGCTGTGGTCTTCCTCTGTCCACTGCTATTGACTGTCCAAAGGCAGAGCGGGGAGGGGGAGGCAAGGTCTCCCCTAGACCAGAAGGGCTTTTGCCTTCTTTGCCCACAGCCACACACCCCACGGGGTGGGGGGGACTTGCTTGCCTGCCACAGCCCTACAAGCGAATTCCCACAGGGCAGGGGAAAGGAGTGCCGGAGCTTCCCCTGGGTCCAGCCAACCCCGACCAGCAGAGGGCAAAGGTCCTTCTCACACCCACTCCCCGAGATCCTGGAATGAGAAAGCTGCTGCAAAGCCAGCCCTGGGCCAGGGAAGGGAGGGTGTCTTCTTCTGTCTAATTGATGGTCGGTTGTGGTGCTCCTAGCAGGGCTGTGGTGGCTCAAGTGGTTAAGACGCTGAGCTGCAGACTGGAAAGTCGGTAGTTCGGCAGTTCGAGACCCGAGTGCCACATGACAGAGTGAGCTCCCATCTCTGGCCCCAGCTCTTGCCAACCTAGCAGTTCGAAAGCAAGAAATTGCAAGTAGATAAATAGGTGCCACTTTGGTGGGAAGGTAACAGTGTTCCATTCACCTCGGCATCTAGTCATGACAGCCACATGACCACGGATACATCTTCGGACAGTGCTGGCTCTTCGGCTTGGAAAAGAGATGAGCACCGCACCCCTAGAGTTGGATTCGACTGGCTTTCGAGCAAGGGAGACCTTTACCTTTACCTTTACTGTGGTGATCCTGCAGCCACCTTCTTCTGTAGCACGAGGGGCCAGGCCAGCCAGAGAAGCGGAACACTCCCTCCCTGCCCCAAGGAACTCTTGAGGGAGGCTCAGCCCTGGAACGATGCTTCTGAATCTCAGGCATGGGCAAGTGGGAAGTGCTTACCCAGTGCTGAAGGGAGAGCACTCTGTACATACGCAAGGGCACTCTCTCTTCAGTCACAACTTCCCATGTTGCAGAGAGGATCCCTCAAACTGAGCAGAGAGGGCCAAACACGGGGGAAGTCGGCTTCCCAGGAGGCCTGGATCGATCTTGCAAGTGGGATCTTGGGGAACACCCCCACAAGTGTGGGTGTTCTCCTCTGAGGAAAAGGGGGAATCGACTGTGGGTGAATTCCCACCAGGCAAAAGGATTCAGTCTTGAGATAATCTCCCCCCCCCTTTCTCCTGGGATCTAGTTCTCATAGCACTCAAGCTTGGAAGAACCTGGTGACGTTGGGGGGCAAGAGACTGAAAACAGACAGCGCACCTTTTCGTGCAACATACAGTCCTCTTGTGGAGCCTGCCTGCCACTGGATGTACGGATGGCCGCTGGTTTAGATGGCTATAAAGTGGGATTAGTCGAATTTAGGAAGGGAGCTTCCATCGGTGGCTATGAGCTATGATGGCTGAAGGGAGCCTCCATGTTCAGGGGCAGTATACCTCTGTACGCCTGTTGGTTCAGGAGCAGTAGCGGGAGGCGGCTTTGGCCCCAGTTTCCTGTCTGTAGGCCTTCCAGGGGCAACTGGTCGCCCACTTTAGGGAACAGGATGATGGACTAGATGGGCCTTAGTTCTGATCCAGGTGGGCCAGCCCACCGCGTTCTCCTGCTCTTGGTTTGGCGTGCAGGGCTGCCTTTCTCTGTCCCAGTCCCTGTCCTCCTCCTCCTCAGCAGGCGCCTTCCCTTCCTGGGGCTGCCGGCAGCCATTCCCTGCCTTGAGCCCTCCTCTTTTGTGCCTGTGGGGGGGGGGGCGTCTGGCATCCGTGGCGGAGCTGCCGTCTCGCTGGAGGCCGTCCTTGCTTCCCCGCGGGCACAAAAGCAGGCACGCGGGCTCTTTTGTGACGCCTTCAGGGTTAATTGCCTTTAGCTTCAGAGGCTTGTTAGATGCTGGCACGGAAGATTTTCCATGTGAATCCCTGAGCAGACAGCAGCAGTAATAGAAAGCCCAGGCAGGTGGGCCGGGAGAGGTACACAATGGCGTCTTTGAACCTTCCGAGGCCTGTTCTCTGTCAAGAGCTTCTCGGTTGCGAGCTCACATTTTGGCGACCTGCTTTGGAGGATGAGGGGCTGATGCGGCGGAGAGAAAGGCTGGCTGGCCTTCCGGCGACACAGGAGCCAGGTGGGTCAATATCCACCAGGCGTCCCACGGATCCTGCCCGCTTGCAGAGCCAGGAATTGCTCAGGCGCTCAGAGGGAAACAAAGCGTGATTCACATGCAGGCCAGGATTGCTGGTTCATTCTGCCACCCCAAATCTGAAAGGGTTGCCACAGTCATCTTTCCTTTCAGCTTCTTGGCAGTGCCGCCGCACGCTCCGAGTGCTGACGCACGGCATCTGTGCCCGATCGGCTAGTGGAATGCCGTGCCCAGCCTCAGAGATCGCCTGCCTATCGAACGGGAGGGGGAGGAGAGACA